TCATTCCACTCTTCTTTTATATATTTTTTCATAGATTATTGCCATGTTATTTCTGTTATTGGTCATTCTATCCTGCTTTTATATTGATTTTTTTATAGAATATAGCCACGTTATTTCTATTTTTAATCCATTTCACCGTAGATTTTTGACAATATTCGCCATCATTCCTGTACATGCTTCTCTATGCGTGTGCAGAGAGCGCTTATTTTTGTAACTATTCTCTTACTCTAATTGTAGCCTCATTTTATCAGACTGAGCTTGTTTGATTTTTATAAAGTCTTCCTTTGAAAGATGCATCATTTTCCTAAGTTTCCAAATTCTAGGTATAATTAATTGTCCTTTCTTTCTGTCCCAAACTTGTTTTTTATTTAACCTGCATTAGGCAACTTTGCGTGTTTTGAATAACAGGCTATATATATTACCTAATTATTTGTTAAGTTGCATTACAAGGCTTATTGAATAACTGTTATTGATTTGGCTTTTGCCCTCGTTTAGTCTGACTTTTTGTCGACTATATTCACAGTTAATTCGCCATTAACGATTCCTATAAAGATTAATTTGAGGTAAAAGCAGGTTATTTTCACCTACCTTGTTAATCTAGTATCTAATTACTTGTTGATTTCCTAACGTATATTATTTTAGACTAGTAACTTAGTTGCGATATATTTGGCGGAATTAAGCGGAACTTGAGTCATCTTAAATTCTTCCTGCAAAGTTCATATCCTAAAATTTGCTAGTGCAGCAAAAACGAAGACTGGTGTGTTTATTTACACTTTATTTTGGTGCTCGCTTGTTGGGCTCAAGAATTTAAATCTTTTTCTATGTATCAAAGTTATTTCTTTATTGCATAACCCTCAAACTATATAAAATTATTGGTTATAACCTAGTTTAACCAAATAGCTACATGTTAATTGTATTAGGTGCCTACTATATATTTTCATTATTTTGTTTCATAACAGATGTATTCGACAACTATGCCATCTGTTGAACTCACCTCTGGACGATGCTGGTCTTTTGGTCGACATGCACTTCTTCCCGAAGCACATATTTGGGTTGTATGGCGTCTTCTTCAGTGTCGTAAATGCCATCTCCGTATATTGTATCAATCACTGGCCGCTCGTGAACTTAAAAGCGAGTTGGAAAAAAACTGCAGCTTGACATTTTTCATCGGCTTTCGACACCAAAGAATAGCTCGCCATCACTTTCACAGCCTCACTAGGCTGATCCGAGCAGTGCTGCTTGGTCTGGCCATGAAAAGGCATGCCTCAACTGACGAGGATCTTTATTGTTTTGGGTCTTCGCTTTCCAATAAGTTCCATATAATCTCATCGAAAGCATGGGTATGCATAGAACATGGCCGTGAACTTTTTGATATGCTCTACAACACAGATGAGGACACCTTTGTAGTCAGAGCAGATTCCAATCATTCTGTTCCTATAGCAGCAGATGAACGATATGCACAATTGATTCTTCCACCAGGAAGATCCAATTTTTTCCGTTGCTGTCTTCGCATGGATAAGTTAAGACCATCCATACCTGCTCCTCTTGAGTCCTCATCTTCTGCCTCCACTGTAATTGATTTTTCGCTTGGATCTGCTCCAGCGGATCCCTCATCGACTAGTCATCTTTTGGCTAGTGCTAATTCCAGATGGTCTTCTTTTTACGAAGCTTCCAATTCACTTTCTATCCTAGATGAGCCGCCATCAGAATGCTTATCGCATGGATGGTCTACAGAATCTTTATCGAACTCATTCTCCTGTATGCCCTCCACTATGTGCGACTATCAGGCCACGCGGATAGCTTTAGCACAAGGGCCCCGAGTCCGCTTCCCTGAGCGGAGTCCTGTTACTGCCATTCACAACCTTGTCCGTTACTCTCTGGCTAGTAAACTTGAGCGTTCAAACCGAATTTGGGAATGGAACAGTTTTCATCGTCTCATTGAAGCTAGAAATCGCGTTACGTCACACATGAATGCCGAAAGCGATGAGGAGGAAAATTCACTGGCTAGCACTGAGGATGGAAGCGAGATAAATAATTATAATGACATCAAAAAAGTCGGACTAATTTATGAGGTGGATAAAATACATCCTCATTTTTGTGATCATATAGAAACCTCTAGGTTTATAAATGAAAAAGTGTTTTCTCCACCCGTATTTTCTCTCGCCCTTGTACCTGGTAAGCCCGTTGAGGCCGAAGCGCAGCTTCAGGTTATCAGAACTCGCCGGAAGCGAAAGCGAAGAAAAAAGTTTGCTTCATACTCATGTAAAACTAAGAACTCGCCATTCCCCGCAGAAAAATCTTCTGAGTTGGCATCAGAATCGAACACTTGCG